TCGGTCTCACCAGTATAAAACAACCCCAATTTTCAAAGTCCTTGCTCCCAAATACAACCTTATTTTAACAGTCTTTACTCCAGAGGGCAAGATGGTAAAAAACTGTACGGAAATTTCTGTGTATGTGAATTTCTCCAGGGAGAGATGGCCCACAGCTTTTTTCAGATGCTCAAAGAGACTCAGAACTCCTCTATCTTAACAAGAAATCTCAATTTTACAGTGACTCTATAGTAACGAAATACAGGAAAGCTAAGAATTCTGAAACAACTATTGCCCATATTCTCATAAGGAGATAAAACGAATCAAAGTGTACTGAGCTTCAAGTGAGTCCGATCACTGCTAACTAAAAGCAAACTGAAATAAAAAGAAAATCCATCCTGAAAGAACAGTTTGATGTTTATGAAAATAGGGATTTTTGTGATATTCCATAATAGTCTTTAAAGCTGCTGAAATAATCTCCAGAAATGAATGGCCCACAGTAACAAAAATTCTGGAGAAAAAGAAAAGCTGCTCATGAAAAATATAAATTGCCTGAGACAGATTCCTTTTTTAAGTCAAGGAGAAAAGGCTGGTATAAATCTATCACTATTAGATTAGACAAGGGAAAAATACACAAATACCTCAACTGAAGAGTTCAATAATTACAACGCAAAAGCAAAACCTTCATGTTGTAAAACAACTAACATTTTACTAAAAGTGTCTCGTGATAAATAAAGCTATTGAGAAAAACCACGTTTTTTCAAATCTACAATTTCTAAAAGCAGGAAAGAGGGTCTTGCCTGTTAAACCTTATTTGCTATTCGTTTTCAGTCAGAAATTGACAAAAGAGAAATCAGTTATATGGACAAATACTAGTCAAGTGCAGATGAAAAGAAAAAAAAATACAACAGTTACTTGCAATTAATAAGGCAACTTCCAAATTGGTTTGGCTTTAATCCCAAGCCCATCTATTTCTATGACCTTCTTGGTAATTTTACCGATTCCACTCCTTGCCAAAGCACCTATGCAGACTACTTACAAGGAAAACCCGTCATCACACAAAACTACTAAGCAACATTTGAAAGGCAAACATACAGCTAAGAATATCAATGAAATTGATGCACTCAAAGCCTAATCCACAGCTCTGAAAAAATAACATCTTTACCAAAAATAGATTATTTTTATGTAGACCAATCTCTGTAAACGTAGCGTTAGTATTAAAGGTGAGGATGGCTTTGAAAATGCACCTAGCACAGCACTGCTTACAGAAGACTTGCCTTTTGTTTTTTACTATACGACAGATTTCAAGGCTATAGATACAGAAAGTTGTCTGTCCTTAAAAAAAATTCTCCCGTGACCTTACTAAAATTACTGTCATGATATATATAACTTGCATAATAAAAGCCAAGTCTGTTTCCTGTTAGTGAAATTTTTTCTAACTACACCATAAAACCGCTATGGGATTTTACTATAATTTTTAGTTCAAGTTTCAAGTTACCAATCCTACTTAAACCATAAAGCATACCTTTTAATACACAAAAGCTTTAAAACAAATTATTGCCTTTCAAGTTTAACAGCCTTCTGTGTCTACTTAGCACTTGAAATCAAAGAAAAACCAACAAGCATCACAAACCAACTAGTATCTAGAATCAAACAAACAGACGTTAAGTGTTCTTTCCAAATTAGAAACAGAACAATGGATTTAGCATTAGAGTACACATGTGGTTCTGTGATTAACCAGAACCAGTGAAGACTGCCACACCTGTAAAATGAAACTGGCCAAAGCAAGTAAACATTCTAGGCACCCAATGTCCTCCACAGAGTTAATTCAAGAGTTGGGTGTGGCATCACCAGTGCATAAAGCCTTAGTTTTCCAACAGTTCTAGAATACAGTACAAGCATAAAGCAGCAATGCTGGCAGCTAAACACTAACAATCAAGAAGGCCTCTAACCAGAATAAGCTACGTGATCAGAGGGTCCCAGTACAAAATGAAAGTACTGGTCCCCTTGTTCAAAAAACCAAGATTTTCAAGGGGGACAAGTTAGGACTGCACAGGTCACATGCCCATTAAGCAGCTTTGCCTCCAACCAAATATCCATGCTTTAAAAACAACAACAAAAAAAATCTTTAGTGTAGTAGCTTACCACGATCACGGGCCTGTACAGTGGCTTTTCCAAAGAATCAGAAAGAGCTGGGATGGACTGCTACGGACAGGTTTTCCACAGGGTGGCACACCATCCAGGCCCCATACCACCAGACCCTCAATGCCATTAAAAAATTAACCAGACCAGGCTAAGCAACATGGATCTCCAGCCTCCCTTGTGCCAAATAAACATCGTTAGTGACAAAGGTGGCAATAAGAATATGATTCTGCAATAGACTTAATAAGATTTCAAATGAGCGCAAAAGAATTGACTCTACCATGCAGACCAAGAGATCAAAAAGGCAATGGTAAAGTCAGTCTTGATGAGATGCTATTTCGGAGTATCCAGCCCTCTGGGGTAAAAGAACATGAAGAGTGATTTGCCACTGTGGTGCTCTTGTGCCAGCTAATGCCTGAAAAGCGTCCTATGTTAAAATTTGAAAAAAAAATTTTTCCAACCAAAGAAAGAGGAAATGCTTGATCCCAGCTTAGAAGCTGGGGGTATTCTGGATGGCTGTGTTGTGTCCTTCAAGAGAATTTGGAACTTCTTTCTAGAAGAGAAGAAGAGAAAGAGATTTGAGGAGGGAAAAGAACTATTTTTAAAAATTATAATCACATTAACAGAAAGCTAGAATGGCTGAAAGTGGTAACAAGGATTCAGCCATGAACATCTGTCTGTATAATAAAAAGAATAAAAAGGCTGGATTAAGAACTGAGGTAGTATAAATGCCCCTTAGAGCACTGTTCTTCTATAACCCGCTGGGAGCTGCATCTTAACTAAAAACGCCAAACCAGACAGAGAAGGACCTTGCTTCTCTAGGGAAGAAGCATTTACCAGAACCAACCAACCAACCAAAACCAAAAAAGGAATTCTAACAACTAATAAATACAACCTGAGTCTAGAAAAGGAAAATAAGGTTCTACAGGAAACAACAGTTGGACCTGGCAGACAAGGACCAGTTTGGGGTACCTGTTCTACTCTAGGAGATATCCTAAAACTAAAATTCTCTTGAACCATGAGGAAGGAGTGTGTGCAGCTTAAAACAGCTGACCTGACATGATTCCAAAATGCAAACAAGATACAGTGAAGGAAGCATCTAAAAACAGGGAGAAAGGGGGCCTTTAAAGCCCAAGGCTCTGTCTTTGAAAAGGAAAAAACCTTATTCCCGAAAGGTGGCAGCACAAAGTTACCCAAAAAGGCAACGTGGTGTCAGTTTTGATCACACAAAAATATTCTCTCAAAAAGGAAAAGGCAGAGAAAGCACAGAAAACTGGATGTAATGTGCTTCTTCATAATGTATTTTTTTCTACCCCACCCTAGCCATTACCTTCCAGAAATGTTTTCTTCTTGCCCTCTCTTCTCCACTCCTCCCCTATTTCCAAGAGAACTTTCTCTTAAACATGTACCCCCTACCTGAGCGGTGTTAAATCAACATTCCTACACACCTATTATAAAGAATGGCTCAAAAACAAATGCGGTAATTCCGCAGTCCATCCAGCAAAATAGCCACCATTTCTAGACCCAGAGGTCCAGATGAAATAGGAGATCCAAGAAAGCATTTCCATTTGCTCACCAAAATGGAGACTCCAGGTCAGCTTCAGCAAAAAAGAGCGACCTCTGCACAAATGAAAAATTCAAACGACTCTGGGAAAAACGATTCTTGACAATGTTGTCTTCAAAAACAACTAAACAGTATTTCAAATAAACCGACTTTACTTAAGAAAATGGGGAAATTACACCCCCACTGGTATTAGTGTTGTTTAATGGACTATTTGTCGTAAGTTTGGGGGCTGAAGTACATTTTTATGAAGACTTTATTATTATTGGTAGGTCTACCAAAAATTTAAGTTTTAAAAAGCTCTTTGTCCTTGTCGAAGGCATTTCATTTTGCATTGTTAAGCACCCCTCTTCGGGGAGGGAATAAAGGAGAGTAGACAGCCGGTAACAAATCTTCCTTTTCTCATATTTTCAGAACATGTAAAGAGAAGAGATGAAAATTTAATCGTAAAAATTATCTTTTAAAATGCACACTAGTTTAAATGACCATCTGGATAGCTACGACTCCGTGCTTGTGGTTCACATCTAGAGGCAAGGTTTTGCGCCCCGGCCCTCTAGGATAACAAGTAGGCTTTTAAGGAAACGCCGTGTAAAGACTGTTTGTTGGTCACCGTCACGACCACTGGAGGAGCACCTGCTGATGAACCGATGCAGGTCTGCACGAGAGTCCACCAACCTCACCAGTGCACGCACACGC